TACTTTAAAACCTCGCCAGTTTATACATCAGAAGTCTCCCGTTCTAGGATAAAAAGAGGCTTTACTAGAGTCATTAAAAACCCTAAAAGCGACATTATCGCCCTCTAGATATCCTACTATGTCTGCAGTAGTTATTATTTCTAAGCTTAACTTAGATATCACAAATAACTTACAAGAAGCTAGCTCCTTTATAAGAGCCTTATAAACAACCTAAGTTAGTGCTATAAGGGTTTAAGCATCTTTAAGTAGCGTTTTAAGTATCTACAAATAGACACAGTATAATAGATTATTAAAGTTTAGGTAAGCGGTAATAGTATAGGAATCATTATCTCCTAATAAAAGCTTCGTCATATATAGTAAATTAATATTAGACGTATCTAAGAACTTAATAGAAATATAGTTATCTCTATCTCTTTATTTAATAAAGTAGTTTACATATTTAGCAGCCTAGAATATCCTATAGATCACTATACTAATCTTATTTCTTAGTCTGTTAACCTAAGAATCTATAAGATTTAGTTCTAGCAACTCTTGTTCTTACTAGCAGAAACTCTTATCGGTCTTGCTGCCGTTAGCGAGTTTAAAAGCCATACCTTTGCGTCGATTATTAGTTAAGCTAAACCCTAACTTTAGTAATGTCTTAAGCCTTATATAGTGTGGTGGCAGTTTATAAAGTTTAAGTAACTTAAAAGATCAGCAGAATTAATAGTATAATTACAACAAGCGTTTAGTAGGAGTACAAGAGGCACAACAGATGGTTTATAACTAGCGCAAGGTCTCTATTATAGCCCTATAAAGAAGGGCCAAGCTTGAGTTTGTGTTATAGGCGTCAAGCCACAAGATTAGAGTGTTGACTTTTGCGTAGATTGCTGCCCAGAACAAAACCCAGAGTGCAAAGTAAGGCGATATACTGCACAATCTACTTCTAAGCGTAAACAAGCGGAGAAGCACATGTGCTGCTAAGTCTGCCTCGGCGTCGGCTATTGAGTTTTCCGAGTAAACCACCGCCCAAGTATTGTTTACACTCAGGTTTGACTGAAATTATAGGTATTATAACCACCCCACCCCACATGCGCAAAACCCCTACTTGCGCAAACCATTATCCCCATCATCACCACCACTATCATCACTTACTTCACTAGGTCTGCCGCCCACCCATATGCAACTTTCGGCCTCGCTAGATAATTCGGATACGCTGGATTCATCCGAACTATCTATTCGGCCGGCATCCGGATTTTGCGCCCGCCGTATATGCTCTATAGTGGCGAAGGTGCTGTTGGGCGATAGGGGGACCTTTTTCCTCTTGCGTGACTAGAGGTCCTCTAACTAGGCCTGTAATGCAGCGACTTGCCTTTCTAGAAGTGCCCTTCTAGATGCCTCCTCATCATACCCCTTTTGCACCTTTCTAGATAGGTGACAAATAGTATAGGTATCTAATCCATCCTTGCCCAGCTGGTTAAATAGGTGCAGTTAATGGAGTTGCCATCGATAACAATGCTTACGTACTTATGCAACTACATACTCATTAAACAAAACCAGAGTCTCAATATCGTATTAGAGAAATAGCTCAACAACACCCAACTCAGCAAACGTCTTTAGTAGAATAAACAACCCCAAGACATTCAAGATTAGAATAAAGCAGTAGATAAATAGGTAATACTAGACCTAAAGGGCATAGGCATAAAAGTTACAAAAAGGAGGCATAAAGAAACCCTATCCTAAAGAATCATTAATAGCACGTATATAGCTGTCATAGTAAGATTCTCTAGGGGTTAGAGCAGCAGGACGTATTAGGCTACCTTAAACACAAGCTTAACTTTCTAGATACAGATAAGATTCAGACTTGTATTCTAGAAGCCGTTCATTTATACTTAGGAAAAAGTAAATCTAAATAGGAGGAGGTTAACAGATTTACGCGCTCCAGATGTACCAACAATATCGCCCGCACAGAAAGGCACAGTCAGTCGTGGAATCGTTTCTCAGCAAATAGAACTCAGATTAGAAGAGTACTCAAACACGCAAGGCTAGACTCTCCTCTAGTCAAGTGCGGTCAGCAATAGCCCCATCAAGGGCCGCTGCCATGCTATGACCACACTCCAGCCGCCAAGCCAGCCTCAAGAATTAGGCCAAAATAGTTTAGGTCCTCCTGTAGGCCCTCCCAATTCTTAGTACTGTAAAGACCTTGGATCACAGTTAGTTAGCTTCTACTAACAGAACTAAATATCTAACGCCCCTCTGGAACAGGGTTTAGATACTCTAGTTAGTCTGTTTCAGACCTCAGCCACAAATGTACAGGACAGGTCCTAATAACCGTCTTTCCTATCATGACGTCAGCATCCCTTTCCAAGTGCAAGTTCAATGCCTCATACCACAGGGTCTGCCTTGACGTTAACCGGGATAGCGCCAATTAAGGTCCGTGCCCTCGTCGGGAGACGCGCCAATGCTTCAGATACTCGACCCATCCGCCTCCCGAGCTCAGAAACGCGTGGCGCGGGACTAGTGGACACACTTGCGACACGCCCTAACAAGAAACAATAGAGACCAAATTCCACAGCACAGGAAAGCTGACCGGAACCCCTTAATAAAAGCGAGGAGGGTAAAAGTAGAAGATCATTCATAGGTAAGGTCAAGTGTCACAGCTTGTTTGTTCACTACAAAGACCAGTCACTCTGGTTTTACATAGATATCCGCCACAATAGCCAAGTAAAGCTGGTTATTGCCCTAAATATCTGTGACCTAATCAAGCGGTGGGCTAGACCTCGCCCATTACAATTATAGGTTCAGAATAGACGCAGTGTGCATGCCAGCAACATTTTAAGGAGTTACCTCTTTTGCTAGGGATACACACTGTGTTCAGGTCCATTAAGCAGCTGTAGCGGCTCATTTATTCAGGCCGCACACAGCCCACTCTATGCGTATGCAATTAGCTGGGAGTTCTCACCAAGGTAGCGTTACTCTAGGTCTAGATAAAAGATCCCAGCCAGACAGAGTAATTATTACAAGTCCAAGAAGAGCAGCTTTTTTATCCGGTCTACGGTAACCGTGCGACGGACTTGCTGCAAAAGGTAGGCAAGGTAACGCCATATCCACGGTAAGTATTAACCTTTTCCTAGGTTCTGTTGACTATATCTTGGCGAAAATCTAGAAGATCGATTGAAAGCGAATTCAATATGTCCGACGCCGAGTTCGACTTTGATGCCTCTGACGTCATTGCTGTCCGTGAAGATCCTGGACAACCGCCCGAAATCATTAACCAGCAATTCCATCTTGCTATCTGATATTCTGAGTTAGCCTCTGTCCTGTTTCGCCTTAGTTATTCTTTTAACAGCCCACCTACTAACACTATAGTCTACTTATAAATTAGAGTTAACTGTATTTATTTGCTAATAAGAATAACATATAAAAATTCTAATACTAGTACGCTAAGCCTACCTTATTTTAAAACCGTCTAATAGTAACTAAATAACATACACTTAGTTACCTGTCTTAAGCTCTAGCTAAACAGCAGCAGTAATACCTAGCTTATTGTACTGTCTGATTTTGCTACTAGAAAGCTGCCTGGCGGTTTGGCCTTAGACACCTATAGATTACCTTAGTCACTTGCGGCGGCTTTGCTATTTTCCTTATACTTTTAGTACAATATTTTAATAAGGAAGAAGTTTAAAAAGTATAACTAGACTATTAAATAGTACCTATCTTTAATAAAAACTAAGAAGTAGCGTTATATATATATAGTAGATAAGGGCAGACTTTATTTTAGTACTTATAGTAAAGTGTTAAATAATAATAAAGAAAGTCTCCCCCCTATAAGAGAACACTGTAGATCTCCTACGCTAGCCACGCTACTGTTATGTAGTAGCACTGTCCCCTTTAATACTAGGCCCTATTACTAAGGCTTACTGCCGCTATATATTACATGCCTAGGTAAGGAATACTTACTAAGGGCTACGTTTACGGCTGTCTTTGTTAAGAGTTCTAGTGGCGACTGTAACCTACTAGAGTATAGTAATAATAAGCAGCATAATATGCTAGAGTCTATAGAGGGCACCCTCCCCTATAGAAATAAAGATACTAACGTATACCTTACTCCTAAAAGAAAACGTTTTTTTAGTAGTAGACGTATAAGGATGTCTCTAGTTAAAGCCCTTTACCTAGAGAAGTTATAGTAATCACTATTAGCTAATACAGGCAACTAGGGCTGTGTGATGTGTATACTTAAGCTGTAACAGCAACAAATTAACTAACTCTAGTAAGGATTAAGAGCATTACAGGCATAGAATAAGATAATCTAGAGACAAAATAAGGCGCTCTAGAGACAATACAATAACCTAGAAGTAACTTATCTTAAACTAGAAGACAGTTAAAAGGACATTGTAGTAAGTATTAATAATCTTAACGTTAAGGTTAATAAGCTTTAGGCTAGGTGCTATACGCTTAAGAAACAGATACCAGACATTAGTAATAACATAGAGGAACAGAAGGAACAGATAGTAGAGGAGTTCAACAAGAAAATAGGCAATTTAATTGAGGACGCAGTCGCGCAGTGTGTTAACGCTAAGGTTAACAAAATAAGAAGAAGGATTTACAAAGTCTTTCAACCTAAATAACTCAACAACAAGAGTCATCTTCGTTGTTGTCAGCTCTTTTGTAATAGCAAGGACGGCTCAACACCCTCTGACAATGTTACGTCCAATCTGATGAAGATACAAGGCATGTAGTTGTAGGAGGCTTCGTGTGGGTGAAGCATGTGATACCTTTTGTGGGTATTATCCCCCGATTAACAAGCTGAAGTAATGACGACAACTGAATCTTAGTATTACTTTCTTCACGCTAAAGGCTAGGAGCGTCTATGCCAACCGTTCCCGAACCACGGATGCTAGCTGGACGATCTCTGGCAAGGATGTACATATGATGGTGCCCTGGGCATATGAGAATAACTGCCTTGCCCCACATACGAACCACCATCACCACCCATCATCACCATCATCACCACTTATTTCCTAAGGCTTGTCGCTCATCCATATGCAATTTTCGGCTTCGCTGGATTCATCCGGACTATCTGTATCGCCGGTATCCGTATTTCTTGTCCGTTGAATATGTCCTATAGTGGCGAAGGTGCTGTTGGGCGATAGGGGGACCTTTTTGCTCTTACGTGACCGCTGGTCCTCCAGCTTGGCCTGTAATGCGCTAACTTGCCTTTCTAGAAGGGCCAGTCTGGATGCCTGCTCACCATACCCCATTTGCACCTTTTTACATAGGTGACGAATAGTATGGGTGTCTAACCCATCCTGGCCCAGCTGGGTTAACTGGTGTAGTTGATGCCGCAGATCAGCAGACCGATGAGGGGTTGACCATGGGACGATAGATACGGCTTCATCCCACCGTTGGCTGCTGGGCTGGCTGGTCTGGCTGGTGGTCTGCTGGGCCTTGGCTATCAAGGGGTTGGATAGAGGTCGCCTCATAGCAACTGGCCATGATCCAGCTGCCCTCCAGCCACTTCTGATGTTCTGGCTTGTGGTAGATATCTTGCGGGCCTTGAAATAACACTCCAGGAATGCCCTTCTGCCAGCTATAGTTGGATCCGTGAGCCAGCCATCTAGATATACAACCTCCTTGCAAAAGGCCTGCTTCAATAGGCTAAAGACAGCCACATCCAGAGGCTGGAGGACGGCAGACGAGTGCGGCGGCAGAAATAACAGATAGATGTTATGCCGCCAGCATTTCCACATAAAGTTAATCGATATATGGGAATAATGCCCATCTAGAACAAGCAGTCTGGCCTCTTCTGTTTGGGTACCTGGGATGAAGACCTTCTCTAGGCATTGGAGGGCAGTGTTATCAGTCGTCCAGCCATTATCAGTGTGTGCAAAGTGTCATCTATCATATGTAGATAGGTTGGATGGGAACCACTGGTCTTGAAGGGACTTGCCCTTATATACAATCAAAGGGGGCAAGGAGGTCCCAGCAGCAGACGCACACTCGATGATAGATACCCATCGCCGGGATCCTGGCTGGTTTTTCTGTATTCCTCTTGATGCTGCAGAGCCCAGCACTAGCCCATTAGCTCCCTTGCCATCATGATGCCAGTTTCATTTATATTCCATCTGTTAGGCGGATGGGAACCCCGGATGGAAGGGATATTTTCCAGGCGATGGAAGAAATCCTGGATAACCTCGCGGGATTATGATGCCCATCGCTGGGCATCTAATGCTCTGGATCGCTTGGTTCTGATGGATGGGTTTCGACGTTTGAAGCGCCATCCACTTCCACCCTATCCCCCTGTTGTCGCTAGATCCACTGGCAATAATAGGTTATCGGCGATAAGTATCTCCATCAGTGATGACAGCAATAACCGGCATCGCAGCAAGTCCTCTTAGCTCTGGCAGTACAAAATCAGCTATATTAGCTGCAGACTAGTAGCTCCTGTTGCTAAATTCACAGATAGCATCTCGGTTTAAAGTTCCGCGCCTGATGCCACACAACACACACCGCAACTTGTCCGAATTGTCATTTCAAATGTAAAACATGCTGTTACTTAACTTTAGATAAGTCCGCACGTCCTTATTTCCCACAGGCAGTCCCTAAGTACTGCCGGCCATTAAAGATGTAGCTAAGTAGGTTAATAGATTAAAAACTCCGCTTAGATAGTATTATGCTTGTTTTCACAAGATAACAGCGTAGTAGGCAGGCGTGTAGATACTAACAGCCTTTGTGGCGCGCCTGTAGATATAACACATGCTTTACATTAGATCTTTAAGCAGATTAGTAACATTCTAGAAGGGTAGCAGAATACATTTATAGTAATTATAAAATATCTTATCTAGCACCATAAAGTAGTGTGTAGGTCGCGCGGTTCCCTAAATAGCTATATATACTTGCAGAAAGAAGTCTTAGTTTTATACCTCTATTACGCCTTAGTCTACTATAGTTCCTAGTTTTAGGTTAGATAAGTAGTCTATATCAGTGTTACGACCCAACAAGTTACAGGCTATATTGCCCTACCTAACAGGCAGACAATAGGCAACAGCAGCATTTATACAGACAGAAAGAACAGGGATAGACAGATGACTCCCCAGAACAGAAGAACTATAGTATAAGTCACGTAGTAATAAGAAAGGACTAACAGAAAATAAGCGCTCTAGGTAAAGGACTAACTAGTTAACAGCGCTCTATAGTAAAGGACTAATAGATAAGCGTCACTCTAAGGCATACTAATAGAAATAGGACTTATATATAGGATAGACTTAGATATACTTAAGGATAGACTTCTATAGCTTTTTAGTAATTAACTTATAATATATTCTTTAAATACCTTTTAGTATCTAACCTCAGTAATTTAACTAATAAGAAGCTATATAAGCACTAAGACGCCTTTAACTACCTACCTAATTACTAAGTAATTAATAAGACTAATAAGAATAATAAATACTATTAACTAAGTATTAACTTTTACTTACTATTAGTAAAAGCCTTATTATCTAAGAACTAACTATAACACTTTAATTACTTTTATTAAGTAAGTTAACCTTAATACTTACCTAATAGTAAAATATAATAAGATATTTATACTATAAACTACTTTTACTTTATTTAGCTTTAGTAAGAGGAAGCCTTTAGCTACTTCTATATAAAACCTAAATAAAAAAATAACAGACGCTAAAGTATTAAATAAAAAACTAAGTTACACTAAATAAACCTATAGTATTATTATAAGCTAAATTAAGAAAAATAATTCTAATATATCTAAGATATAGACTATAATAAATAAGCTTAAGAATAAACTTAAAAGTAAAAGTAATAAAGTTTATAAAATTTAATTTATAATTACTACTACTTTTACTAAGCTTTAAAAAAAAAGAGAAGTTACTAAACTTAAAGAGAATAACTATACCTTATAAGGGGTAGCTAATATTATTACTACCTTTATAAAAAGATATAATAAACTTAAACTTAATTTACTTAGTACTTATAATAGCACTAGTAGATAACTAAAAGGATTTTAAATCTAAGTATATACTTATTAGGCTTTTTATACTACTAACTTTAGAAGTAAAACTAAATAAGTAATCTATATAAGAACTTTCTTTTATAAAAAAGCACTCTTTTAGTATAAACCTTACTTAGAAGAATTTCTTAAGTATAATAGTAACCTTACTATTTACTTTTATAAAATATAAAATATCTTTAGAAGTATAACTAGCTTTATAGAAGCCTAATAGTTACTATTTTAAGATCCTAATAAGAAGTAATAAGCTAAGTAAGATCTAGCTAGCCTATAATAAACTAGGTTAGCCTCTTACTATATAGCTAAATTCTAATAACTAGCTACTTAACTTAATATTACTTAAGAATTACTAATTTTTACTTCTTATTAAGGACTTAAGGATAACGTTAAAAAGAAACTTATTAAGATTATTAGCTTACTAAAGGACTTCTTATCTTATATTAAACTTACTATTAAGATTAATATATAACTTTTTAAATAATATAAAAAATAAGAAGAGATCTAATAACCTAATATAAATATAAGTAAGAAGTATACTTAAGGACCTAAGTAGCTATACTAGTAAAATAAAAAATAAAGTAACTAGTAGTAACTATATAATAACTACTTAAACACTACTTATAGATAGTATATAAGACTAATAAACGTTAGTATTATAAAAAAATAAGATTAGTAACTAGTATAAGACGTTAGTACTATAAAATACTATAATTATAAAGAAATAAGACATTTTATATAGGACTATAGTTAGCTAAAGAGACTATAATATAAGAACCTACCTAAGTATACTAAAAAGGCTAGCGTAGCCTAAAAAAACATCCCTTATAAATAACTCTTATAAACTACTTACTATAATAATAACTACCTTACTTATAAGAAGAGTAAGAAATAAGTAAGATAGTACCTAAAGAAGCTAAGAAACACTACTAAACTATAGTAGGTTATAATAATTAATATAAGGAAATTCTATAAGTAGATTAGGATTAAGATAGCTAATGTCTTAAAGGAAAAACTATATAATAATACTATTAAGAAGACTACTAATACTATAATATAAACTACTAAGCCTATAGATATTTAGTAACTTAATTAATAGACTATAGTAATTACTTACTAGCGTAGTAATAAAAGTAAATAAGCTATAGATATCTAAAATTAAAATATTATTATAAAACTTATATAGACTTATAATTAACTAAAAATCTAGTACCTTAATATCCTTAATATAAAAAACTAAAACTAGTAAAATAATAACTAGAATAGCAAATAGCTACTTAAGGGAACTATAACCTACTAAAGGCACTTAATAAAAACCACTTATAGGAAATTACTAAGACCATTATAGTAGCTAGAAAATAACAGCCCTAAGAAGTTAAGAACTCTAAAGAATAAAACTAATAACTTATTACTAAACTAATCTAGATATAGGACGCTATAATAGATAAATAAGACTAGCTATATATAAAGGAGACCTTAGACGCTCTTAACAAATAGTTATAGCTTTATATTAAAGCCTAAGATAACTACTAAAAATAATAGTAATTAGAATAAGATTTTAAATAAACTATATATAACGCTATAGACTTTACTATATAAGTAGCTAAGATAATTATAGTAAGTAAAAAAGCTATTACTTACTAAACTAAAAACCTATAAAAGATTCTAGATATTATAAACTAATATATTTAATAACTACTAAATAAGTATAATAAATAAGTTATTTATAGTATAATTTAAACTATATAGTTACTATATAAGAAGCTATACTAGTTTAAATAATAGATTAACTATAAGATAAGTATTAAAAAAAAGCCTTATATAATAGTAAGAGTTTATCCTTAATTATATTAACTACTAGCTTAAAACCTTACTAGCTAAGAGATAATAGATATTCTAAATACGTTTAAACTTATAAAGGAACTATAAGTAAGAGTATATATAATCCTAAGACTGTTTAAAATCCTAGTAATTAAAAGAAAAAGAACTAGGTTACTATAACCTTAACTTTATTTCTAAAAGCTAACCTTAAAAGAAACTATTATAGTATAAAGAACTAGTTCTAATAAAATAAAAACTAGTAGTAAAAAAGAAAGTAATAAAAAACCTTTTTACTATAAAGTAGTATTACTAAGTAAGATAAAATAAAAAGTAGTAAAATAACTAATAGGATTAACTTAAGTAAACCTAATAATAATTAAATAAACTAAAGAAAAGACTAAGTATATTTAATAATAAGCTAATAATATATTATCTTTTTTACTACTTATAAGTAGTATAAATAATAAAGGTTAAAGACCTTATGCCTTATAAATTAATATAATATATATAACTATTAAGATATATAATTACACCTTTAAAAAAACCTCTAAGAAAATAAATAATTAGAACCTCTGTTTTTATAAAACTAGAGATATTAATATTAAAGGAGAACCTATTTTCTTAAACTAAGAAAGCCTTAAGTTTAGAGATTATAAACACCTAGCCTTAGAATATCTATTATATCAAAAGGTATTTTAGACTAACTATATTTATAATAAATATAGTATATATAAAATAGCTAAGGGGATTAACGCCTTTTATTCTAAGAGGATTAATAATAAGGTAATACTTAAGTACTATACTAGTAAGGAATTATACTACTAAAAGATTAAGAAGTATAGGTATTAAACTATTTACTTTAAACTATACTTATAATACCTAGTAGTATATATAACTAGTATAACC